GTTCCGCCCTTGGTTCTTATTTGTATACCAGTAGGGCATGCAGCATGCTATGTGTTACATGCTTGCAGCCTGGAAGACAGGGTCACCTCCCCAAAAGCCTGCATATTAAAGTTATACTTTTGCTACCAGGATCAGTATTTAGCTTGCTGTCTATCTCCGACTCACTGATCATCATTACAATTTAAAGGTGTCTATGCTGCTTAGATATGAGAATATGACCCTGTAGGAAGGAAGCTAGTTTGTTGCCCAGGCTTTAACATGAGGTCACAGAGCTGGAGTCTAAGGAGAACAAATGTCTTCCTAGCTGTAAACCAGGGTTCAAAACAGGTAGGCTCATGGCAGCTCCAGCAGCTAGTCGTTCCTCACTGTAGCTGTTGCCTTGTGCTTCAGAACTGAAGAATTTGCTAAAAAATAAAACCACTGCCTATGCTGAGATTCCTCAGCAAACTGATGTCACCATAATTGTACAACCCACTTGTGTAAAGCACATCTACAGGGTTGTATAGATGTGACAGGTGACAGTGCAGTGACAGGTACAGCCTATCTACATGAGGGGTTTGCAATGCTATAGCTATGCTGGTAGCTAACAGCCCTTGTGGTTGCAGAGAAAAACTTTCCAATGTAAATTCAAATAATGTCATCTACCTTGGTGTTTTAAACAGCCTAAAGCAACAGTTCTGGGGCATGCAAACGGTTTGCAATGGATGTTAATTCTGAAACCTAATGGTTACTTAAATACCAATATTGGTAATTCCATCTGCTGGTCAAGCACTGAAAAAGAGAAAGGGAAGATCAGCATCTTGTTTTGGTGTCCCAGATGGAAGCGGATGGTTCATGGAGTGGAGGCTGAAAAAACATAATTACTATCTTTATTTCAATTTGACTTTTGCTCCAAACTGGTCTCATAAGAGCTTTATTAAGAGCCTTCTAGGCTAACTCACCTGTATCCTCTTTCAGCAGGGCTGCTTATTTCACCTGTCAGAGCTGTTGGAGACTTGGCCCCTGTGCTGATGATAGGGTGCCTGTTCCTCCTGCTTGCACAGGTTATTTGCAAGACAGGAGAATAATAGTAACTTTAAGAACAACTCCCCACGGGCGAAGAGCAGCTGAGCACTCACAGTCCCTTCTGTCGGCAATGTGAGTTGAGCCCCTTGGAGCACCAGGGGAAACACTATGACCACTAAGGCAGTTCTCCCAGGGGCAGGGGATGGCTGCTTTTCTGGTATGGGGTAGTACCTGGGCAGAGGTAATGTATAATTACTCTCCCACTTTCATTTCCAGTGGGAAGATCTTGGCTTTATGCTTACTTTATGGAACTGGGAGATTTCTCCCTAGCTTGCTCCATATGGCTGAAGGCAAGCAAAACCTGGGGTCATCCAAACCCCACGCCTCCAGACTTGGGCCTGCACGTAGGATGCCTGCCAAATGATTTGGAAACATCTGAAGCCCCACGTGGGGGTGGAGGATGTTTGCTGGTAGTAAGGCCATATATGCTGCTTGAATGACTCATGGATTTGGAATTGATTTGGCTTTGAACATGAAAAGTTTTCCTTACAAAAAAAAGCTTGGCAGCGTTTGCACCCATGCCCGTGCCATGCACATAGATGAGGGCGTATCACTAACACAGCACAACCCCGCGACGTATGCAGTGCCCAGCAGGCACCAGGTAGGCCACGCTGGCATCGCCCCTGCCTTGCCCTGTTGCTTTCCGAGCTCATCTTCCCTCATCCCACAGCCCCCCAAGCACCCGCCTCAGAGGGCACCTTCCATGGTTGGTGCCTTCTGGCTTATGTGGGGCTCTTCCAGTGCCGCGTTATGACAGGCCGAGGCCCTAAGCTACATCCATTTGAAGAGGCCCCACACGATAAAAATAATCCATGGAAATGGACGCTCATGAAATTCCCGCCCAAATTTATGAGCTCAACAGGATCGTTGGCGGCCCCTCGAAATCCAGCATGACGCCCGTTGGGCCCAGTGGGTCCTCGGATGCCTGAGGAGCCCGATTCTGGATGCGCTCGTTCTTCAGCAACGGCGGCACGTTGCTGCACGGGGGAGTGGGACTCGCAGCCCCGGGTCGGTCTCCTCTTCCTTCCTCGGGATCGAGTCGGCGGGCCTCAAAGCAGCGCCTTGGTGGACCAGGGGGTCGGCAGCTTCCTCTGCTTAGCTGTTGGTGTCAACGCCTCTGTGCTGGAGGGCAGGAGCGACGCGTGCTCCCAGAGACTGAGGGCCGCGGCGATTGAGGACCCCCTCCCAAATGTCTGCACTCAGCACGAGGAGCCACGGAGAGGGGTACATTTGTGTTCGGGTGGAAATGGCCAGTTGTTCCCCCTCCGCCTGCCTGTTCCGCGGCTCCTCCGGCCGCCAGGCGGCGCCCTCGCGCCAGGCCGCGCAGCGCCGGGCCGCAAGGGGCGGCCGGAAAGATGGCGCTGGCGGCGGGGAGC